TCCTCATATGGCAGGCTTGCCAGTCCTTGGGTCATCTTTGTGGCCTTCTCTGGACCCTCTCCAGCCTGTCCACATCTTTTTTGCATAGCGGGAACCAAAACTGAACACAGTATTCCAGGGGTGGCCTGACAAGTGCTGCGCAGAGTGGGATAATGACTTCTTTATCTCTGCTGATGGTGCCCTTGTTGATGCAGCCCAGTATCCTGTTGGCTTGCTGTGCCCCAGCAGCACACTGTTCACTCCTGTTGAGCTTGTTGTCCACCAGGTCCCCCAGGTCCCTTTCCACAGAGCTGCTCCCCAAGCCAGGTAGATTCCAGCCTGTGCTGCACTCCTGGATTGTGTTTTCCAGGTGCAAGACCTTATGCTTGTCCTTGTTGAATTTCATAAGGTTCTTGTTAGACCACTCTTCCAGCCTATCCAGGTCTTCCTGCAAGGTAGCTCTCCCTTCCGAAGTGTCCACTTCCCCACTCAGTTTGGTATCATCAGTGAACTTCATCAGGGTACACTTGATGCCATCATCCAGATCACTTATGAAGATATTAAACAGTGTTGGGCCCAATATCAATCCCTGAGGGACCCTACTTGTGACAGGTTGCCAGTTTGAAAAGGAGCTATTTACCACTACGCTCTGGGTGGAACCTGTCAGCCAGTTCCCCACCCACCACGCAGACCACTTGTCTAGGCTGTAACGCATTAGAAATTCTTCCACCTTTTTTTTTAAAAGACATTTAGCCCAACAGCAAATAGGATAGGATAGGACAGGACAGTCTATTTCTTTTGGAAGGGGCCTACAATGATCATCTAGTCCAACTGAAAAATGTCTTTTAGAATTGTAACTCTTCCTAAATGTATTAGTATTAAAGCTAGCAGGTAAAAAAATAAAGTTAGTGATAATGCTGTATGGCTGAAACACGATTTACACAAGATTTAGGAGATGTTCCTTGTATTTTATAATTTTAAACTTCTTTTCAGACAAGAACTTAAACCAGAAATTTATTTGTGATTGTATTTCCCTGGTTGTTGTTAAAATCTGGAGTTACTTTCACTTCGAAAGTGACTGAATCAGGATTCTCAACCACTAGTCATTAATAGCTGATCTCTTAGGAATAAGCTTACCAAATTCAGTTCAGATTGTGGATATTCAAGAATAATTTTTAATGTGTAGTAACATTATAAATGTAAAAGGTAGAAACAAATTTTAGAGCTTTTCTAAGTATACTTTTCCAAGTATATGACTTCACTAAAATAAAATACAAAGCTGAAGATGTTTGTATAAATTAAATAGACAAAAGGGGAGGGCAACAGTAAAGTGGTGAGAATAAAGTGGAAGAAATAAAAGGCTGGCAGAGAAAAACCTGAAGGCCTCTTTGAACTATGACATTTTCAAGCTGAAACATTCCTTTCCAGTAAAGAAGATGGGAACTTTTATTAAACTTAGAATTGCACAGTAATAAAATTTAGAAAAGACTGGCTTTTAATTTTAACTCAGCTTTCGGAAGTGGGTTTCCATGATGTGATTTGATAATGCATTGTCAATATTGTTCATTTGACAACTTGTTTACCTGAAAGGGGCTATTTCCATGGGGATGGGCGTACAGATACAAGGTCCTAGCAATACATGGGCAAAAATAAGGGTCTAATTGACAACTTGTCACTCTGAAAAGTACGCTAAATTCCTTTGCAGAATTTCATATGAGGTGATAATAAAACTCAAACTGCAAGGCTTCAGTCTGGATCAGAATTCAGAATTGTAGGTACCTTTAACCAGTTTCGCCAAAATTTAGAATTCATCTCTGGGAATTTGGGTTGTAGAGAGGTATATTTTCTGTATTACTGAATATACAAGTATATGTAGGTATACACATCTAGTTTTACTTCTTAATAATTTTATAACTCTGGGGTCAATTTTTCACCTGTGTATATCCCCGTACCTCAATCTCACTGCACCAAGCCTGTGGTTCCTAGTTGCTTCGATAAATACAAATTATTATTGTATTTTATAAGCTGAGAGACTAGGATGGTTTTTTTTCATTTTGAGGGTTGCAATTGTTCCTTGGCATGCCTTATACAGTTTTTGAAGTATATAATAAAATTTTAGACTGCATATATTTCAAACCCCTTCTTTGAGTCCAGGGACTAATCAAATACTGGCAAATCTCAGTGAGACCAGTTCCTAAAAGAGTAAGCAGTTCAGGAAAAAGAGAAGCATAGCATCATCTAATCAGAAGAATACGTTTTTATGTATTGTAAAAAATCTTATATCTAGGCCAGTCCATTTAAATACTTCTTTTATGTAAAGTAAAGTATACAAAGTTAATGAAATAAGGATTTTATTTAATCGTTTTTTATTGCTAATAGTTGTTCTTAGACAAGCTCAACATGCTAGTTAAGCAAATCCATCAAAAGGACTAACAATTTCTAACCATCTGAAATTTTGAGATTTATTTGATCATTCATCTCTTGGTAATTGCAGGAATTGTCAAATATTGCTTAATATAAGAACACAGATAATATATGTTATTCTACAAAGCTAGTAGGTAACTGATACAGTTCTAAGTAACGTAAGGTGGTGTGGGGTTTCTGTTAGCCTTTTGCTTACTGCAGTTAACTCGCTGGTACGTACTATGCCCATTACTATCAGTCAGTATCATTATGGGACAAGTCTTAACTCAAAGGAGTTAGGTACATTAACTACTAACAACTGCAGTAATCTATTACTTCGATAAACCTTTAAAGTTGTTTGCTAAAATGGGAAAATGTTGGGGTATAACTGCACTATGATTAAACTAAATTCAAATGATTTATATCTGAAAGGTGACCGGCAAGAGTCAGTATCTACTGGGCGGTATGATCTAACCAAAGTTTTACACACCTCAGTCAATGCTGCTTGCTGTTTGCATAACACCGTTGTATGCAGATGCATATGTCCACTGTGCAATAATCTGTTGCTTTTGCCTTTCACACTTTGGAAAAACCTGAATGTAGAGACTGATAACCGCAGCTGCTTTTAAATGCGACACACTGCATTGTCTGACACAGGAAAACAAGCCATCAAGCCATAAACCCCTGAAATCTATTGCATTAGCTATTCATCTGTCAGATGTGTTGAAAATTAGGTTTAAACCAAATAATGTCATTTAGAAATACGGTAGTGTGTCTGCACTGCAGACTGCAGCATAGTATAGAAGACCCTAAGCTGGCCTCCAATAAGCTAGCTTGAGTACTGCAATCAGTGTAATCAAAACAACCTGAAGTTCTCTACAGAGGATAATTTCTCCTGCTTCTCAGGTAAAAAGAAAAAAAGGAAAATAAAACTATACGAGAAACGCAGAAAATATTCAGGAAACATTTATTTAAGAAGCAGGTGGTCTTACATAGCAATATTTCTTTGGTACTCAGCTGAACTCCTTTAATGTACGTTTGGGGATGTCTACTCTACGTTGCAATTTATAGCGTGGACAGATCCCACTGAGCTGTGACAGATGTTTCAGCTACATTTGCTTGTCTATGAAAGCTTGTGCTCTTGTGCTTGTTTCTTTTAATATTCTTGTTTGTTTCTGATCATTTTCTGCATTTCTTGTATATTAAGCTATTACAGAAGCCTAGCTCATGAAAAATAAATACAAACAAATGGTGCTTACAACCTGTCTAAATTTGTGTAAAGGAAGGGGTATATTTTCTAGGACTTGATGTAGATTTCTATCGCTCTTCCTCCTCAGATAATAAAATTCCATATTGACAAAATTTCTATGTATCACTGCCATCACAAGTTTCCTGTCCACACTATGCTTTTGGTTGTATGATATTTGAAACTTGAAGTATTTCACTGTTACCACAGTATTTACAAGCAGTAATTTTTTAAAAATGGTATTGCTCACTGTTAACACACATCTTTTGATTTAGGAAAGAAGAGCTCTAGAAAGAAGGATATCTGAAATGGAAGAGGAACTGAAAGTAAGTAAACTACTACACGTTAAACTATTAGTAACAAAGTGTATAACTATGTCAGTGAAACGTGTAGTTTGGCAGTATTACTGGGCTCTATAATTTCATTAGAAAATAACTAAGTAATAGCTGCATTGTCAAAATCACTCATGTCATACAGCTTGCATCAAAGCTGTTACGCCGGCATAAGCAGTCATACATGTAGGACTTCTCAGAAGGCACCGAGACATGGTTCTATAACATACTGGCTAACAAGAAACATTCAGAGCTGGTTGGAGTGAAACATTTCTTGATCTAATCAAGATGGCATTACAATCTGTGATTTTGATGTGATACCGTGTATTTTATGAACTTAGAAATAATGGTAGCATATAATTCCATAGATATTTAAGCATTAAATGTTGCTTCAACCTTTATCTCATGCTCTTTAAGTTATGTATTAGACAACATGTTACCAATATCAAAAGAAAAACTTCCATTTGTATAGAGTGAATAATAATCAGTTTTTAGTTAACAAGAAGCAGTAGATAGATTTCAGACATTGACAAATAAGGAACATTTACCACATGCACTGATTTCCATTTTTTTCAACCATGTATAAACTGAATCCCAGAAGGAAAATACTTTTAATGCATTTCTGGATTTTTTTTTTTTTTTTTTTTTTTTAACCAGTCGTGGCATGACTTTTCTCCTTTCCTGGTTTATCAATGTTAAGTCCTCTGATACGGTTAAGAAGGGTGAGAATTTTGGCAGGTTTGTTTTGTATTATGTCCTTGAATACAATACTGGACAGGTCCAACCAAACTGATAGAATTAAAGTATGACTAGAAAACTAGTGGAACATGATGAAATAGAAAACATTTTTGCACTCCCGAAATTTTAAAGAAATATCACTGTTTTGACATTTCATCGTTGTCATTGATTAAGAAAAAGTTTCCTTTCAAGCTCATTTTTGAGCTCCCTCTGGTGCTTGGAAATGGCATTAATTTCCAAATACTTTTCATTAAAATACATGCAAAAAGTTTTGTTGAACTAATTGAAGCTGACAGGCAGGTGTAGGCAGAAGGCAACCATGATGACTCCAGCTTCCTTGGATTCAAGCCAGGATAGTTTGCTGTAAGGGAAGACACAATGTCTGTGGTTCCTTGTGGGGTCTTTAGAGTTGAAATATGTAGAAAGCAAACTATGGTATAGGAAAATAATTGTGTCTAAGAGTGGAAGACAGGATGTGAGCTTCTATCAGCAACCTGCAAATTCCTCTTGGGGGTGGTTGGGCATTCTAGAGAAACAGAGAATGCAAATATAATGCCTTTTTTCAAAAGCTTACTTTCAATAAGTAATACGTAAAAGTTTTGAATTAAAAATTCAGAAATCTTTCTATCATTTGTTACACTGCCATGTAAAAGTATATGTTAAATGTGTCATTATTTACAGACTTTTGAATAGGAGATTTAGTTTGTGCAATTAGGATGTTAAGTAAAGAATTCCAGGAATAGCTCTCATTGTTAATGTATCCTGAACTGTTTTGGAAAGCTGTGACTAATCACTGCTGGTTCTTAGATTGCTTTTCAAGAATGTGCCACTTTGATACTTTCCTTTCACAGCAACTTATCTACTTTAAACAGGACTGTCTCTTTTAAGTTTTCTTTCAGTTCTACTCATCTCTAGTTCTTTTAAACGTAATATACATGTTTTTTCTTGTTTTCACTCCTATTTCTTTGATTCCTGCAGAACCTGCAACAAATAAAGCAGATACAATCTTTGAGACACATAAATGAGCGACTGGTGACTGAGAATAGGGCCTTGACCCGAGTGGTTGCCAAGCTGTCAGGGTCCTGTAGGCAACTGCGCTCTGTGGACTTGTAATTTCTTCCTTCTCCTTTGTGTAGCCAGGCAGGTGTTGACATTCAGTTTGTGCTTGGGTAGAATTTTACTATTAACACTTGTGTGTCAGAAACTGACTTACTGCTGCTCGATTATGGAAGTGTGGCTAAAGCATGGTGTCCGGTGTACCAACTACAGGTGTTGCAGATGTGTTGGTATGGTGTGGTATTGTCCTTACTAGCACTGAAGCTTGCCCTCGTTTACCGGAAAATAAATTGGCAACGATCCAGGAGACCTTTGACGTGTTAAAACCTTGGCAACAATTGAAAGGATTTGAGTTCACACTAGGATACACTGAAGTCGCTCCCTTGTTTTGATGTTTGAGTAAATGCTCAAATAGATAGATTTGCCTCTTGTTTTTTAAAAAATTTAAACTAAGACTTGAGCTTTCTTACTGCAGTATAATTGAAGCGCATAGAATTGATACAAATCTAGTCTCAACTAAAGAATGTTTGAGAAGTGGTGTCAGTACTGTGTATTCCTGAACAGTTGCATTAGCAACTTTTATTTCTTACATTTCTGTGTTTCAGTGTTTAGAGGGGACCTAAGTTTTTTTTTTTTTTTCAGAAATGTATTGGAATTTCAATATGTTTGAGAAGTGGTGTCAGTACTGTGTATTCCTGAACAGTTGCATTAGCAACTTTATTTCTTACATTTCTGTGTTTCAGTGTTTAGAGGGGACCTAAGTATTTTTTTTTTTTTCAGAAATGTATTGGAATTTCAAGTTGATTAATATTTTCACATATTAACTTCCTGTGTGGTTCTGTCCAATCCTTATTTTTATCTAGACAGCTTAAAATATCTACTTTTAGCACTGACTTAAGGTTATTAATTTATATTGCTATATATATAGGCATTCCAGTCGTGGACCGGAATCCTATCGTGCAGGGAGTGTACAAACACAGACACAAAAAAACCTGCCTAGGGTGTCAGATTGCTTCATACCTAGTAGGTCATTTGGTTCAGTTCCCTTATGTTCAAGGTAGGAACTGTTTTGAGTTTCATATTAAAAAAAAATGCCAGTTTGTCATCCTTAGTGTTACTGCTGTTTCAGAAATGCACTGAATGTTCAAAACCTCTGTGAGGAGCAAAATGTGGTTTCATTCCACAACAAACCCATGTGCCTTTCTTCCTCCTCTTATATAACAACTGTATAGGATGGATGTTTCAGTGAGCTTTTAAGATGTGTAGGTGGGAAAAAAAATCTTCCTTCTGCATTGTGACTCTTGCTGAACTGCTTCCCCTCGCCTACCCCCCTTCCCACTGAGAAGCAAGGCAATGAGGGTACATTTTTTTCATTCTGCTCACAGAGTCTGATCTCAGGTTTTCCTCACTAAGAGGTATGAAATAAAGAGAAGGTTTATCCTTTGGCTTAGTGTCTTCCTGGAGTTGGTCTAACAATAGGATGTGGATAGAAAGGTTGTTCCTGGTCCAGGCCCTGCATTCCTCAGCGTTCCCTTTTCTTAACCCTTGCTGAGCGAGTGGAGTCAGCTCTGACCTGGCTGAAAAAGAAATCCCTTTATTCGGTCCATCTCACCCCAGCAATGCTGAATCGCTAAATGAACATGCAGAAAGCAGCAGGAGCATACTGCTGCCTGAGGAGGGAGAGCTGTCCCTTTAGGGCAGCCTGTCTTACATCAGCTTCAGCTAACAGTGTGGTTTTTCAACACAGCTGAGCTAATCCAGTGACTGCTGTCCACAGCCACACATCCATACCATCTTTTTTTGCTAGCACTGGCATTCCTTTAACTATGGTAAGCCAGTTCAGGTTATTAACTCACGGAAAACTATTCAGTATTCCCTTTTGTAGGGGGAGTTTTCAATGGCAGAACATTGTGGAGCTCAAGGAGCTGGGCTAGCAAAAGGAAAGCAATGGAAACGCAGCAGGAGGGAGGCTTGACATTATGATGGTAGCTTAACCATAGCAGTGTGCCTGATTAATCTGAACAGGTACCTTAACAGTTCATGAGCTTTTTGTAATCTTAATTTACAAAGCTATTTTGTATGTAAAAACTGTTAAATCCTCCAGCAAACAGAGAACTATTATTACTGTAAAGATCTGAGATGGCTCCACATATGTCAGATCATTATTGAATAATTATTTGCTCAACTACAGCACTGCAAAGTTACGAGCTAGTCATATAATACAGGTAGGCAAAATAGTGCATTTGTAATCTTATTCGAGAATATCATCCCAGGAAGATACTTTGCTATTTCAGTGAAAAGCAAATTGGAATTGAAACTTTTTTCCCCGCCTCTGCACATTAAAGGTGTGTGGTGTCACCTCATGAGAAGTTTGAATACCATAGGAATGCAGTGCTCCAAGAAAATTGTATAAATGGCTAGGTTTATTGTATGTGGGGATTAGTATAGATAAGAAGCATAAGTATTTTAGGTTACTTGAGTTTATTCTTCCTGATCAATCTCCTATTACTCATAACTGCTTTTGTCTTCTACCAATCTTCCCTTATTCTTTAGCAGACTCACAACAAAAGAGAAAATATTTTCTTAATACGTATTCTACGTATTAGTTTAATCAGGATTAAAACCTATCTACAGAGATTTACAGACATATAATGATACTGGATTATGTTAAAGCTCTAAATTTGAACAGCAGCTTTTTTGTTGAAACAGATCACCAAAAAATACACCACTCTCTGAGTCTGCCTGTATGTAATTAAGCATTATTGGCTGCAGGTCCCTAGTCAGTGAGTTGAAAGAGGACTTTGACGTTCCTGGAGTTACTTTGAGGTTTCAGTGGAAGGCATACACGACCACACTTGTTGAGATACACAATTAACAAGAACCAAATCAGACTCCCTCGCTTCCTTGTGCATGGCTAGATGAAGAGTGTTGTGGTTTCACCCAGGATCTTTGGCATGAAGTCCATAACAGAACAAAAAGGAAGGAGTAAAGGTGTTAGTTACTTTGCCTGAACAAATGGCTGTTTCATTGTTTGCAGAAACACATCATAGAACAGCCCCGGCTTTATCCTAATATTACAGGCGCATGCACGAACGTGTATGTAATTCATACATCTGGGTACAACCCTGGTGCATGTATCTCAGACAACAGTAGTTGTTTTCTACAGCTCAGAAAACGTAATACAGATAATACTTGAAAATTGCCAAATGATTACTTGTGTTGTCCAATTTCAAACACCTTGACATGTTTTTTGAAAGTAATCAGCATTTTACAGCGCTTTCTGATCACAGCACAGCTCTCACTTGACTATAATGGAAGCTTCCTTCTGACTCTGAAGAGCTTGGTTTAGATGGTTTGTCCTAAGCTCCACCATGGAGCAGCGCTGGAATCCAGGTTCGCTGGATTCATACCAGAATGATATTTACTTACTGTAACTGTGGAGACCACCTTTTTTCCTCTTACCCTGTCGTCTTCATTTCACATACTCTGATATTGGCAGGTAAATAAACTAGAGATCCTGTAACCTCAGTTGTCTTCAGTGCACCATCATGTTTCACTCTCTGAGAGGCTCTGCTGTTTGGTGAACTGAGTGTGGGCAGGAATCCTTTGGAGGAAATGGGTAAATGAAGCCTGTATTGTAATGCACAGCTAATTAACCCTGCATTTTTAAACTTCTCAGTTCTTTCTGCTCCATTATAATTTTCTGAGTCTAATGGGGTTGAAAGTATAATTTTGCTTGAAAGAAATGAAAACTAAACTAGTGGCAAGGAGTTTTCATCATGAAAAATGATGTCGCAGTTGTTACGTAGGTCACTAGCTGGACTTAGACCTCTTGCATGCACTTGCACCTGAGGTTACTGAATAACCGCTCTGCAGGAATGGGCTGTTATCTCCTGTGTCAACCTGCTGCTAGAAACCATACACGGAATTTAGCCACGAGTACTCTAGGTGGTTTGTTATCAGTGTGTGAATGTAGATACGGAGAACTGACAAGATTACTTCTGGTTTCTCTGACAAGTTATATTCCTCCCAGTACAAACCTCTGTGCACTGACTTGTCCTCTGTTCCTGTCTGATCCTGTCCAACTCTCACCTCACTTGGCTTCTGCCTTCCAGCTCTTGTGCTTGCGTGTCACCCATCTCCTGTGGCAACCTTAACTTGCCATCTCCTAATTTGTATGCCTGAGTATGCAGCCTGGTGTTTCGGTGATCTCTTTCAATGATCTGATCTTGTGTGAGCCATGCTATTCAGGGATACAATCTCAAGTTATATGATGTGTGCTTCAACACGAGTTTGGAAGTGGTGGCAGGATTAATGCTATGAGCTAACAAACTGAATCAGACTGTATCTGATCACGATGAAGTCATCCAAGAGAACAGCGGTAGATATGCTTACCCACAGCATGTTTTTTTGAGATACTGCAAATGCAGTATGGACAAACCTCTTTAAATTGTTGGCAATTAACATTTTTTTGTTTTGCGCTGAAATTTGAAGCATTTAATTACTTTCCTCACGCTGCTATAAATGCTTTTTTGTTAGAGGTTTGTCATCTGCACCACCGAGTTTTAGTGCACCTAGTCCAAGCAAACAAAAATTGGTTAACCCTTAACTCTATCATGCTAAAAGGTGAGATTTTTCTGAACTGCTGGTATAAAGGGGGAGAACTGCTGAGATGTTTAAGCTGGATAAAGATTTTTCTCCCCAGTGCTTGTCTAGTCTTGCTGCTTTTACTTGGGATATAACAGCAAATAACCATCGTATTTCATTTTTCATAGATGCTACCAGACCTGAAGGCAGACAACCAGAGGCTAAAAGATGAAAATGGGGCCTTGATCAGAGTTATAAGCAAACTTTCCAAATAAAGGGTTTACTACAGCAGCAGATAACGGTATTGCACATCACTAGTAACTCCAGTGGACCATAGTGTGGCAGTCACTGGAAGTGTGGGAAGATCCCTTGGAGACTGTCATTTTCAGATATCCTGCCAAACGCCCTCTTACCTGTGTGTTTTTTTGTATCAAGATCATTGTTTCTGTTAAAATGCAGCTGCTGAGAAGATAAAATGACTGAGAAATCTTGTTTACAGCTACAGCATAATAAGGAAAGTGTTCAAGGCCAGATACGCCTCAGATATTTAACCAGTAAGCCTTAGTTGTACATAAACACTTTTACATCAACAAAAGCTTTCAGCTCTCACAGAAGACAGTTACTCAATAATGTTTTTGTTGTGCCACAATTCCCAGTTTTTTTCTATACTCAGTTTTTCTTTAAATGTTAAGTTTGAATTTTTCTTCCCTTCTAATTATTCATGTAACGGATTTTCTTGTACAGTGTTTTCACAGCTTTACCATTTGCCGAGTCCACACACCCTTTAAAATTACATATTTGTGTAGCTACCTAGAGTTGTATTGTCCAACCACCTGGAACAGAGATGTTTGGTGGAACATTTGCTTTCACTGTTTGTGCAATATGCATTTATTTCCTATACAAAATGCTTTAAAAGTCAGTTGAAACTAGAAATATTTTAAGAGTCCTGTTTTCTGCCTTTATTGGTCACTTTAAAAAAAAAAAAAAAAGTTTGTAGTGAAAGATGTTAGATCCTGTAATCGTCACATTCATTTGAGCAGGTACTGAGTGATGCTGTATATATAAATGTGTACTGGTTTGATTTTTCAGACCACCACGTGGCATGCTTGAATATATTTCCCTATTGCAAATGTCTGTTAATGCAAATTAGGCTACTCCAGAATAGTGTGTTTAACAAAATTCATTAATTTTTATGGTATAAAGAATTTAGACATTGTACATTGTATGGAGCCCTATCTTTACAAAAGGTCTAAGCTATATAAAATACTTTATTATCTTTTCCTCCCATTTTTTTTTTCATTTGATAGTGTTCACCATAATAAAAAATTGCATAAATATAACTGCTTCACTACATTTCACATACCTGTATTTATCTGAGTGCTGTCCAAAACTGTTGTGCTAGCCAAAGTAATGTACTAAATCATTTGAAAAACATAACCCATTACACTCACATTAATGTTTATATGCACTGTTGTTGCCATGTGAGAAGGCATCCAATTTGATAACACCATCATGTCAGACCATTTTATACATTTCAGTGGCCTTTAAAAACAAAAAAAGTACTTAAGTGAAAATCGCTTTTGTTAGAAACAGCTTTTATATTTTCACTAAACCATTCAAAATACGGCATCCTATTGGCACATAGTTTATTGCCTAAAACCACTGAACGGATCAGCCATTAAAACAAATTGTACATTGTAAAGCTTGTAGTAGCTATTGTATTATTGATTATATTGTATACTATATTAAATGTGAATTTGTACCCCTTCATTTAAAAAGGTCATTGTGTTCTACTGCCTACTTGGGGGGTGGGGGCTAGTTTTACTGGGGTGGGATATGTTTTGGTAAGGAAGACACGATGTCCTCTCTCTGTTGATTGGTTTTTTGAAGATGTGAGGTTATGCTCTTACTACCAAGCTCAGGATTCTTGATTTTAAAGGTACACGGATAGTTTGAGATATCTTATTGTAATTGATCTGTATGAGAGGTGGGTCTGAACCATAGGGACTTCCATTGTTTTACGCTAACATAAAGAATTGAATGGCTGCAATGTATTGAGTTCTGTTACAAGACAGTTAGGCATATTCTGAATTATATTTGGTAAAGTTTGGGTGCCTGTGAATGATTAAATACGTGTTTCTAATATTTTAGTGTTTTATATTTAGGTTATTTATTCTTTATATCTAAAAAATGAATGGCTACTGTGCTATATTGATTTTATTGGTAGTACTGAGCAGACCTTGTATCTGCATGAAACTAGTTGCAAAACCCACTATTTTGGGAAAAAAAATTGTATTTTGACATATACAAATAAAATGAATACAAACTATTTTAAATGTGTGAAAGTTTTACTGAGAAGACATTGAAATTTGTTATGAATTTAAACCATGTTATAAGTTTGCTATTTAAATTCTTTGGTGGGCATTTTTCATTCATTGCGTTACTTGGATGCAAGGTTCAAGTACCTTTCAAAGATTGTAATCAAATTGTGATTATTTGCACATCGTTGTACATGCACATCTGTAAATGCAACAGTAAAAATGCCATATTTATGCAATCTGTAACATCTTGGACAAATGTTTATATATTTTACATAAACCTGTCTGTGTGCAGAATCTGAGAACCATTTGTTACGTGGTATTAACCGAATCTCACAAAGCAACTCCTCGACTTGTGTCACCGTCTTATTGTACTGATGGTGTTGTAGATCAGACACATCCCCAGAAAATCCAGCTACCGCGGTGGGAAAATGGGCAGGGGAGAACTGTTCTATTATTTAGGAGACAGTTTACATACGAGAAACCTACTATTGCTGGCTGCTGATGCTGGCAAGCTTCCTTAAGCGACTAATGGCTTAAATGATAATTCAAAACAGCCACTTAAATTTTCAGGGGACTTGTCACAGCGCAGAAAGGGATCTTTGTGTCCCAGAATTAACACCAAATACACACGGCAGCATGGAAGTAGCTGGTGCAGGAGAGCTAAGAGGCAAAGGGCATGGCCAGAACCAGCCCCAGCCATGGAGGAAGCCGTAACCTGGAGGGGAGGAGCGGCCGGGGTGGGAGAGCAGCACGGGCAGCTGAGCGCGGGGAGGTGGCGTGGCTGCGCAAGGACTGCCCGGCCTCGGTGGCTCCAAACAGTAGCAGTTACCTGGAAGAAAAGGATGGGGAGCTGGGGAGTGTCATTTTTGCCTACCCCTTCTCATCATAAACAATTCCCTCTGGACTTTCCCAATTCCTGCCACACACCGCTTTCAGGCTGTAGCCATTTCCTTGCCAGGTTCCAAAAAGAGCAGTTACAATTCATGTTGTGTAGGTTGGTGCTTTTGTTTGCTCGGCACCAAGTCCAAAACATGAGTCTCGGTGTTCCTCTCCCTCAGAAGCACCTTCCATGCTAAGCTTGTACACAGGTGAACATCAAACTAATGGGTATGAATCTTACCTGTGCAGTATTCCTAGCCACTGTGGTCTTTTGGTGGTCTTTTAAGAGCAAATGCATCATCGCAGAGCAAGTGTTCTCGCGTTTCTTTTTTAGAAAGAGTAACTATTTACACGTCATCTTACAGAGGAGGGAAAAAAGCATGCTTTTGGGGAAGGTATCTGCCTTAGGAGATGTGCGTCAAGGGAGAAATTTTAATTATTTCCTTAACCTTCATCACACAGAAGTGGGCTCCATACCAGACGGCTCCTACCCTGCTAGCTGACTTAGCCGTGAGGTTTATAGTCTGGAGTGAGAGCTCCGCTTCATGCCAGAAACATCCGTATGACAGTCGACAGGAAACCTCCACGAAGAAGAGGAGGTGGCAAGGAGGAAGCATGCCACGCCGCCGGGCGTGGAAAGGCACCACCATGTCAGAAAACGAACAGTTGATGTGGAGAAAGGTAGGCGACACATCGGAACAAAGCTGGTCAGAAGAGTTCGGGGCCCCATTGCGTCTGAGCTCCTGAACAGAGAAAAATTCTCCGAAGTTAGCAATCCCGGGAATTATGCCTTGCTGCTGGCTCGTGCTGCTGCTCAGGGGAGGTACTAATTTCCTGTTAAATGGAGCTGTGATGATGAAAATAATCGTTACACTGACTCTTCCTTGACCTGGGTGATCCTGGAAGTGGCCTGACTCTGCAGCTGGCACCTTGCGGCGCCTGTACGGGCATCTCGAGGTCTTACCCACCCGTGTAGCGCACCGGCTCCTTGGGAGAGGAACACGCGCCCTTTTGTCTCCGTCGGGTTGCCTGGGGTCTTGCGGCAGAAGTGTGAACGGAGGCGGTCGCATCCGCCACGCCGCAGGGAGCGCCCAGGCCTTCCGTGGCCCGTCCAGTATGGAAGGTGTAGGCAGCCCTGGTTGTAGTTACACTGAAAGTCACGTTTCCCCTTCCAGTGGTAGCTTCAGCTTCTCTAACTTGATGTGATGCAGTGCGGGATTTAGCCAATTTTGATACTTCTAATTGTGCAGCTGAGAGGTTAATATGTTTTATAGATAAAATTTAATTTCCAGCTACAATCTGAGGGCCTGTCACAGCAAAACACAACACAAATTCACTACATAATGTACAGTTCAAAAAAGAAAAACTCCACAGCCATACAAACATTAAAAATAGGCTCCACAAAAAAATTCTCTAAAGAGAGTGGAGAAACAATTGTAACTGCATTGTAGAGGGTTGCTTTCCCACCTGCTTTAAATCTTGGAATAGTTTTGTTGCAGCTCTGCTGGTCACCTCTGCAAAATTACAGGGTTTTCCCCATGCAGGAATAGCCAGTCTGCCTGTTGGGGGGCACCGGAGAAACAATTTTCTGAAGTTTTTCAGAAGAAGCTCTCGCTGTTCCTGGTTATGTACACAGTGTTAACATTTAGCTATGGTGATTCAGCTTCCTCGAGTTCTTAGGTCAAAGCCACTAATAACAAGGGTAAAAAAATGCTGGTGACCAGACTGAGTTACTGGCTTTTCGTTTGTTTTGATCCCAAGAGCAGCAGTTGGTGTTGGTTAGAGAGCCCTAGCAAGCGGGACGGTGCTCTGCCTCAGCATACATTTAAAGTAAGACTAGAACAGTCCTAAAGGTGACTGCAGGTTCCTGCATAGAAGAGAGAATTAAAAAAACAACCAAGACCTCCCAAACTGACAATGAATCGCTCACACTTTAAAGGGAGAGCTGCTGCCACACTGATGAAGTCATCGGCTATTCTTGCTTGTGTCAGCACCTCCCCATTTTATGTTACTGATTAGATAGGAAAAGTATGTAGCCTTTAGAGAAAGGAGGAACTGTTCGTTTTTTTCATATAAAAACATCACCTGTTGGACGTCTAATGTTTCTGATCTGGCCCAGGGATAATTACAGCAGGGACAAAAGACCCACATTCCAACTCTAATTATTTCACCCTTCTTACTTGGGTTCGACATGTCTGTTTTGCAAACCTATTAAAGCTTAGTAGAAGTAGTTAGCCAAGACAGCACCATTTATCTCCCAGTGTGGTCTTTTCCCTTTGTTTTATTTATTTGCTGGAGAGGGAAAAAAAAAATAATGGGGGGAGGTGGGTGAGAAGAACCTATTTATTTTCTTGGTGCTGTCTTTTGGTGGTCCACTACAGAGTCCTTTGAGCAGAGACTCCCCGGGATGAATTCCTCTTTTAGCAAAATGGTGCAGGGAGAAGCCGCTGCAGATCTCGCTGTCCTGCGCGCCCCATCTGCCCGCACCGCCTCCGGCAGCACCCCCGGCACGGCTGGCTGCTGCACCTCCCCTGCCCCCTCATCCTCCCAAAACTAAGAAAATTGACAGCCCTGCTGCCCTCTGTTGTGTTTACATTATATACCCCTGTTCTAATGATGTTTCTACCTCAGAAAAGGACAGGCTGGTCTGAGGGAGTTGCTACATGACAGCTAAAATAAAGCTACTGCTCTCTGGGAGTGGTTACCTGGATCCGTCTTCCAAGGAAAAGAGCCTGACTCAATTACATCAGCTGGTACAAAATACACGTTTACACAGAGTTTACACAAGACATGTGTAGCTACACAGTCCAGTCACTGCCCTGAAGGAAGAGTTAATGAAAAAGTTAATTCATTTAAAAATAAAAATCCACATTTACATAAACTGCTGATACCATGGGCACAATTCTCCAACTGCTATCAGCTCACCTCTATTTTTAGCTGTAAGAAAAGCAGCAAATTACACTAAGTTCTTTCTTCCCACTTAATCCATGGCTATAGGTGCTGCATTATGTTAAGTAAATTGCCTAGTAACTCATCCTCAGCTTCCCTTGTAGAAGATACCAGTGCTTTGTGAAAATAAGGGCTTTCACTACAGGCTTTTATTATGCTGCTTTAGTCCCCTGCATAGAATCACAGAATCATAGAATAGTTTGGGTTGGAAGGGACCTTTAAAGGCCATCTAGTCCAACCCTCCTGCCATGGGCAGGGACACCTTCCACTAGACCAGGTTGCTCAGAGCCCCGTTCAACCTGACCTGGAATGTTTCCAGGGATGGGGCATCCACCACCTCTCTGGGAAACCAGGGCCAGTGTTTCACCACCCTCATTGGGAAAAATTTCTTCCTTAGATCTAGTCTAAATCTGCCCTCTTTCAGTTTAAAACCATTACCCCTTGTCCTATCGCAGCAGGCCCTGGCAAAAAGTCTGTCCCCGTCTTTCTCATAAGCCCCCCTGAAGTACTGGAAGGCTGCAATAAGGTCTCCCTGAAGCCTTCTCTTCTCCAGGCTGAACAACCCCAACTCTCTCAGCCTGTCCTCATAGGAGAGGTGTTCCATCCCTCTGATCATTTTGGTGGCCCTCCTCTGGACCCACTCCAACAGGTCTGTGCCTTTCCTGTGCTGAGGGCTCCAGAGCTGGACACAGGACTCCAGGTGGGGTCTACCAGAGTGGAATAGAGGGGCAGAATCCCCTCCCTTGACCTGCTGGCCACGCTTCTCTTGATGCAGTCCAGGATGTGGTTGGCCTTCTGGGCTG